TTTCCACTTCTTATAAACTTCCTTTTTTGTTTTAGCTTACTGAAGAATTCCCTGCTAAGCCAAGGTGGTCTTCTGCCATACTTACTGGCCTTCCTGCACATTGGGATGGTTGTTTCTGTGCCTTCAGTAAGGTTTCTTTAAAATACAGCCAACTCTCCTGGACTTTTTTTCCCCTGGGAGGCCAGTGTCTGTTTTCCCCCCTATCTTTCTGTTGCTGTATGGTCTACCTGCTGTATGGACTTGTTTACACTGTTCTGTGTCTCGTGAGCCCCAGCACAGCTGGCTGATTCAGGCATGTTTCTTGGCATGAACTTGTAGTCACTCTGAGCTAATTGTGTCATCTGATTTTTGTTGTGTTTTGTCCTTGCTGATGAAGAATGACTGGCTGGGATTTGCCTTGGTCCCAAAAGTGTCTAGCTCATGCTTGGACTGCAATAACAAGGTGCTCATTCAGGCAGCTGATTCACGGCTGTTGCATTCCACCATACACACTCATGGCTTAAGCAGCATGAAGGACTGATAATGCTGTATATGTAATGGCAGGCTGAAGTAACTTCTGCCACTGAGGTAAGTGAGGGGCAGGAATTTCTTAGGGTGTTATCTTTTGTTGTATCAGTTAGTCCAATAAAAGATATCACCCTAAGAAACCCTTGCCATTCGCATAATTCCTGGACCATCACAGCTACAGCATCACTTTTAAATCAGATTGTTCCATGATCCACAGATAACTTCCAGAAGGGCTCCATTCTGCATAGCAGCATGGTGCCTGGTATGCGTGCCACATGTTTTAGGAAGTACACAGTTCTTGGGTATCACTGTATTCTGTGTTCTGGTTTATTTGTGTAGTTGTACCTATTCTTTTTTGAGTGTTTAGACATGAGGAGGGAAGATAAACTTAATGAACATCTTTCTGTAATGTGCAACTGTTTTTCTTATTGTGGTTTCAGCTGTCAAAGCTTCCACAGCTTCACCCAGTTTAAACCAAACTCACACTAATATTTATGAAATAAACTGCCAGCAAGATATGCTGAATGATGTGGAGTATACGTTTCATTTATAGTTCTTCATAAGCGGGGATCCTGGTTTTCTCTGATTTTTAAAAATTGCAAATTCTCTGATTTAAAAACCCCAAATCTGTGATAAAAATTAAAGGCCCCCCACAGCCCTCCTGATGCCCCTTGCAACAGCCCCCCAGACATGCAGACACAGACACTGGCCTGGGGCGGGGGGGGAAGGAGTGTGCCCCTCTGCCCACACCCAGGAGCAGGGCCAGGGAGTGAGGGCAGGCCAGCCTGACAGGACGTTAGCATATGGAGGCTGCTACGGCAACTCTGCCACTGCACCCCGCGTT